ACCAAATAGGGACCCCGACCCCTCACCCTAAATATCAACGGGGATCTCTGTAAGATGTTTGAAAAGCATTGAAGTATATATATTCACGAATTGGCAAGCAGCCACAAAAGCAGGCACTCATATTTAAGGTTTCACTTGGGCTCGCTTCAATTGCCCTGGAGAATGGAGAAAGGGAAGTTTGTTCTACATGTGTGTACTATATACTTTATCCTTCGTCCCTTCATCTAGCACTCAGCAAGGCACTGCGTTGTTCAAACAGCGATGGTGTTGATGCAAGAGCAAGGTGGGTAGAACTGACGTTGGCCTAGGCCATACAGGAATCATGCACGAAAAATAACTTGTTGCAACAGGCCATGAGCGCCCCTCACGGGCCTCACAAGAGGGAAAACAGCTTTGCTTGAGAGGGCTTTTAGTACAGGCAGCCTATTTCAACAAAAGATTAGGATTCATGACAAATGGGGAGAACCCCCGTCAAACATAAAAGGAAACCCTTGGCGACACTGAAGACTTCGGAGGAACATGCCAAGTGACCGGAAACATCAACGACGGGCATTTGGGAGACGGATGCAATATGGTGTGAACGATTTGACGAATGAACGCGCGATTGAATCACTGCAAGGGAATACATGGTACAGGAGGGTGCCACCAGGCTACGAGGCAACCAAAAGGCACCCCGTTCAGTTCCAATCAGGCTTGAGCGCTCTAGGTATTCTGTTTTCATTCGCAGCTTGAAAAAGTGTATGCAGACTGGGCATCTGGGAAAGCTTAGATGCTCTTGGTGCGCCTTCATGTTCCAAACAGAGACTTGCCACGTACGTGAGTGTATACCAATCACCTCGCATGCATGGCAGGACTACTCTCAGAGTGGGTTCGTGTGCGGCATGCAGCTCTGAGTCACTCCACGGGGGGTCCAGCCTTGGTGGAAAGAGGCTGGGATAGGCCATGAAAGGCTTTGCTTTCGTTGTGAATGGTCAATCACAGGCCATGAATCATAGGGACAGGCCATGTTAGATTGATTGTGATTGACAGATTGCAAAACATACATCGAGAGACAGAAGATTGCACGACCTCGTGGCATTCAGCTTTCGGGCCACACGAAGACAGTGAACACCTCTAATGCCTCTAAGGGGTCATCTTGGGTGATCATGATATCATTATTCGTCTCATCCAAGCAAACCGGAAAACATCTCCCACAAAAAGTTGGATCCGCCACTGATCAGCAACTGGATGTTCGTGAGAATCTCAATCGGTTCTAGATTGAACTTTATGTTTGTTTGCTCATGGTGCACACGGGAATCATTTGAGATGTAGATACAGATGCATTGTCTCTGGTCCGGGGAGCAGAGCACCTTCAGCACCTCAATTGTTCCGCCAGATCTGCAACCTCGCAGCATGCTGCCTTTTACTCCAGATGGCCATGCAGCCCAGATGGCATGCTTTCAGGAGAAGGAACCCTTCGAACCACCTCCCTTGAGGGAAGTTCTTCATTGTTGAAGACAACCTCTAGCAAGAACACCTCTAGTTGCACCCTGAATCTGTATTGACATTGCAATAAAGGTTTAAGCAGCATCTCCCGCAGTTGTAGGTCCGCCCAGCCATTCATTATCCTGAGGTCCTGTTCGCGGGGAGAACCGTGCCAAGATGTTGCCATTGGACCCTTTGAGCAAGTTGAGGGAGGCTGGGCTACGTCACAGAATGAAGCTTGTTGGATGCAATGCTGTGAGCTGGAAGGACGTGCCCGTGTTCCCAAGAATTGGGACGGTTGCTTTCCTTTGCTTGCTGACGCGATGCCCTCCGAACCGGGGCGCGGCTCTTCAGACAAGATCCAAGAGATGTAGCCGATAAAGCTACCAAATGTTCAAATGATGCTAGTTAGATGCGAGGGAAGAAGCAGCACTGGATGCTGAAGCCCCGAGTGGCACGAAAGCACGAAACGAAAGCTGCGCTGCAAGCAGGTGTCCCAGAAGACTGGCCGATTGTTGGTGACCTGGACCACAGGAAAGGGCAAATCTTCAGACACATCCAGATTGAATTGCTGTAGCCTCCAACCAAAGAAAAAAGACAAAAGAAGGAACATAGAGACAAAAACCGATGGCCTCCAACCTCATGTTGTAGTTTTCAACTCGAAGTTGGCTTGATGCAGGAGGGGACTTCGCCAAAATGGCACTGAATCTCGCCATGTCCATCCGGAGAAATGCCGCAGCCTTAGATCGACCCAACGCGTTGCACGCGAAACGCGACGCCACGCGTTGCACGAAGCCCTGGACTCGAGCCGTCCGCCCTCCGGTGGTCGAGGTCCCATGGCTCGAGCACTCCTTCGTTGGGGCCGCCCAGGGCGGTGGATCCGTGTGGAATGCGGCGCGGAAAGCGGGTGACTGCCATTGAGGGGGCGGAAGCTGACCCCTTCCATCCCCCATCCTGCATCCTGCATAGGGGCAACGGCTGCTGTATGAGGAGAAATTTGCTGGAAGAGAAATGCCCGCTCCAAGGTGCGGCTAAAGGTGTGTCAATGCCTGACAGTGAACAATTCATGCGTCAGTGCGACCATTTTATGGAATTTTGGTGATGGAACAGATCCAAGGCAGTGATTTGCCTAGACCGAGATGCAGATCAGCAGCTCAGAGCAGAGCAGTTCACAACTGCTACTTGGTAAACATCCATTCTGTATTGGCTATCTAGCCATATCTAGCCCATGGAGTTTACACTGGCCTGCTCGAGTCACCACAATGTTCAGACGTTGAGAGACGACGCCAAGTCTCGGTACGAAAGACGAGCCGAGTCTCGGTTGACACGTTGACACGTTGACATGGCCTGCTGAAGAGTGGAGGTTTTTTCCCCAAAAAACAGCGACCAGACCAGCTCAATGCGGAGACTGCGCGTCTCACAGTCTCACCCTGCCTGGTTTGAAGGTTCTGCTGCCGGGACCTGCAGATGAAAATGCTGTGAAAGATCCGTGGCAGAATGACGAGCCACGGCCAAGCAAGACGTCGCGTCGGCCGAGGAAACACGCTGCTGTTCATCGTTTGGGGATCCTGAAGGGGCATGATGAAGGAGCATGTCACATATGTCTCCGCAGCGCAGCAGTGAATTTCTTTTGTTTCCGGCTCAGGACTTGTGGAAATTCAAGCGGCCTGGCGCAAATCTGGCTCCCTCTAGCCTGAACGGAGCACACCGCAAGTCCTAGGCCGTGGACCTAAATCACTTTACGATATTTATGTGTTGGTTCCCAGTGGCTCTCCTGAGCAAGGGCAAACCCATGGCCAAAGGGGGGATGTTCAAAGTCAGCTAGGCCCTGGCCAAGGCCAAGAACGTCGCTCCCCCCCAAAAACTGTTTTGTTTTTAAGGGTGGTGGTGGAGGGTTCAAAAAACCAGCGGCGGGGTGTAAACAAAAGGGGCGGGGTGGTGGAGTTGTTGTCGTCTTCCCAGATTCTTTTGTTTCGGAAGGCTTCGTTTCACCAACCGGTCTCGACAGCCTAGACACCAAACCAGGTATCGCTTGATGGCCTCTTTGATGACCTTGGGTCTGGCAGCCCTCGTCTTGGACACCGACGTCGTGCTCGTCTCGGATCCTTTCCAACACCTCACGGGCGACGCCGACCTGGAGGCGTCCCGCGCGGCTGGGGGCGGCGGGGCACTCACCGGTGTGGAGGGAACCGCATGCAGTCGTTCCATATTAGGTTGGAGGCCATTGCAAGTAGCTTCCAGCATGGTTTTTCAAGCGTTTTCGAGCTTTGGGCGGTCCTCCGTCATAACTTAAGAGCACTGTTTGGCTGCAATACCACCAGCAAGTCCGACCGCCATACCAGGGACGCTGGGCACGTGATCAAGAACTCTGTTCGTCTCAGGTCATGACGGACCTCTTCTTCCCGGACATGCACCTTCTAAATGTGTCCATCCGGCCGGAAGACCACATCAATACGGGCTACGACACTTGAGTGCATTTCAGCTTTGGCTTACAAGAAACGCCCCCCAGAAATGTTAAAACATGTTGTCTTGCTGCTGGAAGGTGGCAGCCGGAGGAATCTGGCAGAAAGTTCTTCTTCTTTCTTCCAAACCCCTTCTTCAGCCAGTAGGCCCCTCCAAGCTTGGCAGCAACACCTCAGCAAAGTACGCATGCTCTTGGGAAGCTTAGGTCTATCACACAGCCACTCCTTCAGCATTAAGGCGGGGACATTCAGTATGTGAGGTGAGACAAAAGTGGTGCCGAAAGCTCGGTGGTGAGGTTCATGCTTGCTTTCCTGGATGCCTTTGATGCCCACGAATGGAGGGGCTTCAAGCGCGATTGGTTCAACCAGAGAGCATTCAACAAGCTGCTTGGCGTGTGGCACCGTCTTACTGGACCCAACACCATTGAATTGTTTCTTTGGACTTGCCTCAAGTATCAGAACATATGCCAACCTATGCTTCAGAGCATTCCCAATCATTCACCAACAATTACCAACTACAGCTGGGCGGTTGAGATGGCTGGGCCACAGTTTCGCCTTCAGCCTAGCTGAACTTTGCAGATGGCGATGGAGAGAGAGAGAGAGAGAGAGAGTGACTAGGTATTGCGCCCTCATCCTGAAAAATTATTGATTGAACACGCGCCAGATCCAGATAATGCAGAAGACCCTAGTTGAAATGTGGCAAAAGCACATTGACTCCTGGTATGGAGGTGATATTGCCGATGATGATCCAGTGGAAGTATGTGGTGCCGTAAACGCTAACCCATTCGACCTCTTGTCTCTACCCCAGAATTCCACAGCGCCACGCCTTCGTTTGTGTGGCCAAACCATTCGACATGTACCTTGTTTGTGGCCATAGACACCACAGAGCAATTGTCGGATCCCACCAGCAGCTTCGTCGTTGGCGAACCGCGGGATGAACAACGAGCAAAGGAACACACTCCCTGAAATAGTAGAAGTGGACCCCGGTTTGTAGAGGAAAAGAGGAAGGTCATCCAGGGGACCATTGCCATCCACTTCCCAGGCTGGTGCTGGAATGGGTGGATGCTGGCTCCGTCAAGGCCAGAGCAGGAAGCAGCGGTTCTCTGAATGTGATGTCGCGGTGGCGAAATCAGTCAGAAATCATCTCCAAATCCACCAGGGCATGGACTTGGTCCATGGAGGGTCCATGTCAGGTCCTGTATGGGCCTGGAGCCTGGTGCGCACTGCGTGGAAGCCGCACCAACGTGGGAACGGTGGCCAGGTCCAGGCAGCGCAGCTGCGTAGAGAGGTGCGCCGATGAAACGAACAGCTATAGCATGCTAAAGTAGCCATCCAGTAGCCGTGGGCATGGCTTTGGAGGTGAGGGAAGGCCGAGTTATAGAACTGGTCTTGGAAACGGGGATGAGCCACCCTGCAGGACACCCACGAGTGGCGTCACCATCCGAGTCTTGAATCCTGCGGTGCGGAGACTTGGAGCTGCATGGGGCCTGTAGTGTCGTGATCCGGCAGACGCAGTCCAGCCCTGGCTGGGTAGACTAGCAGACTGGTCGATCGTCGCTGCACATGCTACACACGCCCGGATCACATATATAAGAAGATCCGCGTGTGATCCCCGGCGGATCGGGGAGTTCGCTGGGGGCGGTCCAGGTCATTGCTCATGGCATGAACTTCTTCTGGCGCCGTGCTCACTTGATGCGGAGTGAAACTGGGGGTCTGCCTTTGGCGGCAGCAGCTTGACTGGGCAGTTGCTTTCGGGCACATCTGGGCAGTTGCTTTCGTTTTTGGGATGGCCCTCTTGTCAGTTGCATACTTTGGATTGAGCTGGTATGATATGCTATGGCCATGCCCTTGAACACCTGGTGAGATTATACTATATCGTTAAGCTTTCATGCTGGCCATGACCGTCGGCCCGGTCAGCGCCTCGTCTGTACACGCGCAAGGTGACTCGTCTGTACACGCGCGTGAGATGCCTCGTCTGTACACGCGGATGTGCTGCCTCAACCTCACTCTCACTCTCACTCACTCACTCTCACTCACTCACACTCACTCACTCTCTCACTCACTCTCTTTCTCACTCACTCCCTCATTCACTCACTCACGCACTGACTCACTCACTGACTCACTCACTCCTTCTTTAATTCTTTCATTCATTCATTCATTCATTCATTGATTCATTGATTCATTGATTCATTCATTCTTTCACTCATTCATTCATTAACCTGGCCACTTACTTGTTTCTTTGCTGACTTAGTCACTCATGCCTTCACTGAGGTTGTCACACAGTTGTCACCCAATCCCTCCTCCCCCTTCCCTCTCTGTGTTTTGTAGGGTCCTAGGTTCCCCTAGGCGTGTCTACGCTATACGCGTGTAGCACCTGTTTCCTCGAGCCATTGGTACTTAGAAATCTTCAGTCAGCTTCCGCATAAATCATTTGGCTCCAGACTTTTTCTGCCCAACATTGCACTGCCCACCCGAGGGTAAAATTTAGAGAAGGATGTTGCCATTTCAACTTGACTCACCCTTTTGTGGGCAAGGAAGGGGTAAAATTTAGAGAAGGATGTTGCCATTTCAACTTGACTCACC